CAAGGTGCTGTCCAAGATCTTCGGGAACAAGGAGATGCGGATCCTGATGCTGGGGCTGGACGCGGCCGGCAAGACCACGATCCTGTACAAGCTGAAGCTGGGCCAGTCGGTGACCACCATCCCCACCGTGGGCTTCAACGTGGAGACCGTCACCTACAAGAACGTCAAGTTCAACGTGTGGGACGTGGGCGGCCAGGACAAGATCCGGCCCCTCTGGCGGCACTACTACACGGGCACGCAGGGGCTCATCTTCGTGGTGGACTGCGCCGACCGCGACCGCATCGACGAGGCGCGGCAGGAGCTGCACCGCATCATCAACGACCGGGAGATGCGGGACGCCATCATCCTCATCTTCGCCAACAAGCAGGACCTGCCCGACGCCATGAAACCCCACGAGATCCAGGAGAAACTGGGCCTGACCCGGATCAGGGATAGGAATTGGTATGTGCAGCCCTCCTGTGCCACGACGGGGGATGGACTCTACGAAGGGCTGACGTGGTTAACGTCCAATTATAAATCCTAATGGGGAGAGGAACTATTTAGTCTACAAAGAATTAAAGAAACAAACAAACAAACAGAAAAACAAATTTAAAAAAAAAAAATAACCCACGTGGCTTTCCAGAAGAATGATTCTCTACTGAAAAGTAAAAAAAAAAAAAAAATAAAAAAATAAAAAGCATCCATAGGATTACGATCACCTTTCTGCCACCCTTTCCTCCTGCACCCTTGGCTGGATTCCTGTTCTAACTCCTCCTGCTTGGCGTTAGGATGCTCTAACCTCGGAATGGGACACGAACACAGGCACTAGATGCTATGCCAGACTTCCAGCAAACAGGGGAAGGACACACTGTAGACTTGCTAAGTAACTTTTTTTTTTTGTTGGTTTTTTTTTTTGTTGTTGTTTCCTCTCGATAGCCCTTTGCTGGTTTGAATTATTTTGGGGGGATGTTGGGGGAGGGGGTCCATTTTTCAGTGTATGCTTTCTGGGTCTACTTTTTTTGATTATATATATTTTATTTTTTTTTTCCTCTCTCTCTCACTTTGCTGTAGATTGCTACTTTTTTGCATTCCTGCAGGATATGTTGCTAGGTCGACTTCATCTAGTAAACTGAAAATTATTGCTTAAAATCAAACCGCAGTCTGTCTTTTTATATTAAGGACTTTTTTTTTTTTTCTTCTTTTTTTTTTTTTTTTTTTTTAAAAAGAAAAGTTCTGTTAATCTGTAACTAAACAGCGACTCGGTCTGGCTCCACGGCTCAGGCTAACGAGGGGAATTCTTGCCTGCAGTGCCAGAGAGTGGGAATTCCACTGTTAACGTGTTGTTTCGAAGTGCATATCGGGCGCCGGGAAATGTAAGAACTGCTTTTGGAATGTCAGCTGGGGAGCTCTGCCCCGTCATACATCATGCATGAGGAGGGGATGCAAAGCAGCTCCCCACGCCACACAGCAAGCGAGACAGGAACGGTGTCCGTAGTTCCAGGTCAGGGTTTTTTTTTTTTGGTCTTAAAATGACGTTTAGTTGCAGTTTTTTGCTACTCGGTGCCGGTCCCCCCGAGTGGAGGTTCCTTCCAAAAGCAGATGCAGCGTTACAAATGTTGCAGCGAGTTTTGCTTTAAATCGCAGATGTTTAGGCGAAAATCCAGCACTGACTTGCCTCTACCTTAAAAGGATTCCTGGTCCTTTCCAACAGAAAGAAGGAAACTGTTGTTATTGTTATTATTTTTCCATGTTGGAGCCTTGAGAAAAGGGGCGAGTTCCGCGCTGAGCTCGACTCGAGCCCGGTGGTTTTGACATCAGTTATGGCCATTTTGAGGAAATCACTTCTTGCTTTAGTTTTCCAAGCCTGGACCGAGCTCCTGCGAGCAGCTGGAGCCTCCCGTGTGTCCCGGTTGTTGCTGTAGTCCTGTAGGAAAGGGAACTATGTTGGATGTGTGAAGCCCATTGAGTAACTACTAATGAGAGCTGGGAGGGGAGAGAAAGAGAGAGAGAGAGAGAATCGACGCTGAATGTAAACTTCCATAATTAGTTCTTAAAGGGCAAGCAGCTCGTTAGCCATGTCACAGCCTGTAGTAGAGGTGACTGGCCAATCAAAAACCCCACCCAGGGCGAGTATTTGCATAAAAAACTCAATCAAGTATTAATTAACGCTGGGTGCACAAACTGTTAAAGCAGCTGGTTCTTATTCAGCCTTAAGGATTAACTTCAGATTTCCTCGAGGAGTTAGAACTCCGGTGGGGAATTCTAGGAATGTATGCTACAAAACCAGAAGAAAATGGCTTTTATTTTCCTTTTTTTTTTTTTTTTTTTAATCTCTCCTTAATTTTTTTGTTTGTTTGTTTTGGTTTTTTTCCAAGAATATAAGTTTTACATGGCATTGGGGGGCGTTACACTACATTGCTGCAGTGGTGGCTCTGCATGGAGAGTACCTTGTATTATGGAGCTCTTACCAAAGATGTGTGGGAAGACAAAAAATCCTGAATTCACTTCTGAAATCCAATGCTTTGCTCGAAGTCCTTTTAGAATACGGTTCCTAAAAGACTTGTCTGGATGTGGGTTGCAAATGGGACTGGATGGGTTCCTGGTGCTAGAAGATAGAGCATTGATGGACTTTGTGAGTTAGGGAGTCTGAAGAAGCTCAATGTAGAAATAACTCTTCAATCTCAGCCCTAAAGAAGAGGAAGTGGGATTAGTTTACTTTAATCCAAGCCTTTTTTGCCGTTGGAAAAATCATTGCTCTATTTTCTAGCTTTTATTTTCTTTTTTTCTTTTTTTCCTGTTGCTGTAACTTAACAAACAAGTGTGGTGGTATAAAAACTTAAAAAAAAAAAAATACAAGAGTATGGTTACTGTTTTCTTCTGGAGCATCAATAAAATAGCCAAGCACAAAGTAAATGCCTAAACTGGAAAACTTGAAGCTCTATTAATGGTTCTTGAACTTTCTTAAACCTATTCTCAGTCAACATGAAAACTTCAGTAACTTCATTTTTCGTCTGAGTTGGTTTCCTGTGTTTCCAAGTGCTGGGGCAGCCTTTGCGTTGACTTCACAACTTTGTATTCCCTTAGTGACTTTGTTATTCTGTTTTTGTAGGTGAAAGGAAACTGCTTTTGCTTCTGGAATTTTTTTAATGTTTTGGGGGTTTTTTTTTGGGGGGGGGGGGAGGAACGGGGAAGGAGAAAGGGGGAGAAAAAGTTACTGAAAGATGTGGCAGAGACGTCAAAAATAAAGGGCCGTCGGTACCGAACAAACCCCACAGGTTTCACTTCCAACATGTCCTTTCTAGGCTGTAGCTGAACCTCCACCACGAGGTAGTGGCTCACAGGCAGGATAAAGTGGGAATCCTGTACGAAACCCGGTGATTTCCAAACCCATCTGGAGTTCCAAGTGCATCGATTTGTGTCCGTGTGAGTTCTGTGGAGTGAGTTCTGAGTGGCGTCAAATCGTGTCCGACCAGTGACTGAGTTTGTGGCCTGTGACCCCCCTGACTGGAGTAACCAGGAATTCTGTGTTCTCAATATGGCTGTAGTGTTGGTAAAGAACTACTAAGCAGAAAAATAAAGCAATTACACAGCGGAGCTCTCCTGGTATGTTACTTATATTTAATTACGAGAGAAACAGAAAGGGGCAATCTGGTGGCGTTGTGCTGAGATAAAGAGGGCTCTGTTCTGGATCTCCCAGCTCGGAAGCCTGGCTGTAATTCCTTGGAGAATTAGATGAGTGACTATTTTTATAAGTGGAAAAGGATGGTGCTTCTTTAATATTCCCACTTGGCGTTTAATAATCTCGAGCAAATTTCGGTGTCAGGGTTATCCAGCCTCGGTGCCAGCCCCACGTAACTTGGGAAGCTGTTCCACGGAGGGGATTGCTCGGAAAGGGAGGACAGGAGGCCAGTGTAGGACATGCAGGGATGGACAAAAGGGCTGCTGAGTGACTCGAGGTGCTTGTGGAGCGACAGATGTGACGCTGGGGCTCTGTGGTGCCTGAGCAGGACACGAGTGAGCCGATAAAAGGACTTGGGCAGGTGCTGGGGCTGTGGGGGGGCTGGGATGGGAGCAGCAGGATATGGACACTGTGACAGCTGCCATCCCATGGGAGAGGCAGCGGGGTCACAGCCTGGAGCTGGGCTGCTCAGGCTCTGCCAGCAGAGTCTCCGAGGTGGCTCCCACAGCTCCAGGTGTGAGGATGAGTCTGGGAACTGTCTTCTTGTCGCAAAGCTTTTGGGAATCCTCAGGAAGCATCGTTACCTGGGCTAGTCAGTGGCATCCTACCTGTGGCAGAGGGTTGGGAATAGATGGTCTTTGAGGTGCCTCCCCACCCAAACCATTCCATGGTTATCCAGCCAGGTGGGAGTCCCTGGGCCCAGGGGTGGTGGATTCCCTGCAAAGCCTTCCCCTTCCAGGGTGTTCGGGCTCTGTCTGCCTGGATGTCAGCTCAGGGTGTGGCTGTGTAAATGAACTTACTCTGGCTTAATTAAACTCCTCGGAGTTGGGAGACAGGGCTCCAGAGGGGGAAACTCGTGTCTCTCTCATTGTAGTAGTGAGTCACATCTCAAAATGCCGGCGCTTATCGGGCCGCGGGGAGCGTGACTCTGAACTGCACCCTGACTCACTCAGGGCTCTGCCCTCGCTCACAGGGCTCTGATCCTCATGGACAGGGCTTGGAAAAAGTGTGCCTGCCATTCCTAATGCGAGATTACCCCTGCTAATCCAAGTCCTCCTAAAGGAATGTGTCTTGCTTTAAAAACGTTGTCAGAACAGCTGGACATGAGGTCTGTGAGAGCCCGTGGTGGACCTGTGGTTATATCCCTTCTCACTGGGAGTTGGGAATGGGAAAAGCAACTGCCAGGGGTGGAGAGCTCGCTGCAGAGTGTGGAAGCAGCCTTGGTGTGAGCACTGTGACTCAGACTTCCCTCTAAAGCACGACTGTGCTTTTTATCTTGGATTTGCTTCCCGTATCTGTCCAGCCTGAAGGGCTCAGCGTGCGGGATCCGAAATCCCCTCAGCTTTGGAGCTTTCTGGAACGAAAAAGAAAAGCTTCCCCCTCACCTCATGGGGAAGAATCAGCTTCCAGGGGCTGTTGGTGAGAGAGTGTCACCCCTGCTGACTAACTCAGTTCCTCTTCTGGGGTCCCGCGCGCGGCCCCGGCACCGCTCAGGGCTGTGTTTCGGAATTACGTCCGAGCCGACGCTCTCAGGGCTTCAGGCCGAGGTGGAGCCCCACAGTCCAGCTCACTTTCAAAACTGGGAGCACCCAGAGAGCAGAATGGTGTAATTTTAGCCCAGAGTGTTAGCTCTGGAGGGTGCAGGGCTGAGTCAAAGCTCGTGGGGAAGGTGGTTTTTACAGGCGGGAAATGGGGTGTGCGGCGGGTTGTCCAGGAAGTGCCTCTGCTCTTGCTTAAGAACAGGTATCTCTGGCCTCCTTAAAAAAAGGAGGGGGGAAAGAAAAGAGTCAAGATGTGACTCATCTGCTGAGTCTCACAGCGGTTTAACAGGCTCTGGCTCCTGCTTTGCCTCTCAGGTTTTCCCTTCCAGAGGATGCACTTCACTCCTCTGCTCCTGGTTTCTTTAGTTGCATCTCTCAGGACAGCTTTAGTGAGGAAAAATACTTCAGCAGGGTTTAATGGGTGTCCCGAGAGATGGAAGTTGGTGATGCTTGGAAATTGGTAGCACTTAAAACACTTTGTTTTCCCCGTGAGTTTTCAGGTGAGGACAACTCCCAGGGGTGCCACCAGCAACTCCTGGATCTGTGGAGGTATCCTGGTGCCCAAATTGCCCTTCAGTGGGTGAAAACTCCTTTGGTGGTTAAACAGAGGAGGGGAGGGAGCCAAGGTGTAGAAAACAACCTGAATTCCTGACTGTGAGGGGGTTGAGGCCCTGGCACAGGTTGCCCAGAGAAGCTGTGGCTGCCCCTGGATCCCTGGAAGTGTCCAAGGCCAGGTTGGACGGGGCTTGGAGCAACCTGGGCTGGTGGGAAGTGTCCCTGCCCATGGCAGGGGGTTAGAACTGGTTGGTCTTTAAAGTCCCTTCCAACCCAAACCATTCTGTGATTCTGGTCCTAAGAACTCCTAAATTATCCCTGTGTCTGTGCCTAGAATGGATTCCTTGTTTGTACTGTAATGGGTGTAACGCTGCCTGGGCCAGGCACCGGCTTCATCCCAAAGTTTCATTCTGATGTAGCAGGAGGGGAGGTTTTCTCTCTCAGCATTGCAGGAGATGAAAATACACAGAAAGCTGAAGCAAACACTGCACTGATCTGATGGTTCTTTGCCTGGTTTATGGGAGTGCACTTTTATTTCACATTTTGGGCTGAGCTGCAGCGATGCTCGTGAGGGTCCATCAGAGCACGGCACCCACCTGGATGGAGAGGAGCAGAACCCCAGAATACCTCTGCCATTCATTTCAAGCTGGTGTTTGGAGAACAAACCCGTCCCATGAAGGGTGGGAGCTCCAGGGTTTGCAGGGCCTGGTGCTGACAGCTCCTGCCTGGGCAGCACCGCTGGCTTGGCGCTCGCTCCGAAGGGGACTTTGCACTTTGCCCATGGAACGTGGGATTGCGTGGTCCTCCTGCTGTTAATATTTGCTGTTTTCGCCCTGAGGAGCTTTGTACATTTTCCCTTGGGAAGTGGGGGGGCTGTCATGGAGCAGCACAACCCCGTGGCTAGTAACTTCCAGCAGACCGGGATGTGCCGGTGCAGTTATCCCATAACTGAACATCTGCCAGGGCTCCTCTCCCCACAGGGGCTGGATTAGCCTGGAACTCACCCAGCTCTCTGGGAAGCTTTTCCTATCACGTACCTGTGGCTTCCAGGCTGCTGCCCTGATTGTAACCAAGCCCAGCACCCACCTCATGCCATGGAGAGCAGGGAAGCAGGGATTTGGCTCTGCCTTTCCCTCCAGAGCAAGTCTGTCTGTTAAGTGTTCAAATTGCATCGTGTTTAAATGTCCAAATTCCACCCTATATATATCATAGTTACTCATATTTTCAACATGATGAGTGTTCTGGGCTGGGATGACCCACGTTGGGCTGGTTTTCATGTCAGCACAGGAAATAAAAGCATTTTGAGGGGGAGGGGAGGGGCAGCAGCAGGACAGACAGTGCTGGTGTGCTGGGTGAGTCCTTACTGCCTGGCACAAAGGTTTGGGATGAGCTTCCCCGGCACCTGCTCGCTGGAAGATGAGCCAAGCTCAGCAGGGCTGGGGTGGAAGGTGCTGAACCGCTGCCAACGAGCTGTCCCTACATCTCACTCTGGCTCATCTTACAGCCTTGGACTTGCTAATGAATCCAAAGTCCTCCAGCCCTTGCCTCCAAACATCCTGAGTATGTGGCGTTTGTGAGCCAGGATCACCGGCCAGGCTGGGATCTGGGATCTGGGAGCTCCTGCCGCTCTCCTGCGGCACCGCTCTGTCCAGGACCTGCTTCTGGCCACGTTGGCTGCAGCATTCCGGCCTCTCCAGGGAGGGCTGGGAATACTGCAGACCTGGGCAGTGATGTGTTTTCCTTTAAGGAACGCTGCCTGCAGCCTGGCAGCTGCAATCTCAGGATCTCGCTCCTGCCGTACCTGTTCGGCTGATTCCCCGTGGAGAAATCCTCCTCTGCATTTTCCCCTTGATGGGAGGTTGTGCTTTTAACCACGGCACCAAAACTTCCCAGCTTCTCTTTCCACCACGGCCCTTATGATTTTGGAAGGGGGATGCAGCTCCCCACAAGGACAAGCTGCAGCTTTTCCACCTCATTGGGAGCTGCCTGTGGGTTTCCTTGGCTCAAGGCCTCCAGGTCACAGCCTGAAACCTCTTCCCCCAACACTACACTCACTTTTTGCCTCCTCGCCATTCCAGTGGTCCCCTGGAACACTGACATGGGGGAGAAGGGGCTCCATAGCTCCTCTTTCCCCTCTCTCAGGCTCTCCAGCACTCCTGCTCCCCCCGGAAACTCTCCAAGTAGTGAAACTGGTTAATCACGTTGACACTGGAGGAGTTCTGGCATCCTAGAGCGGGATCTGTGGATTAACTCCTTCAGGTGTTTGCCAGCTTCTGGGCAGCCTGATGCATATGTAACTTTTGGGCCTTTGGAAAATCTGGAGCTTCCCAACACTTGAGGGTTTATGAACTGATGTCTCTCCTCGCAGCTCCCTCCTCCCTCGGGTTGCCAATTAACCGCGGGCGCTCCGCGACAGACACGGAGTGTTTTGCCGCCAGTTCCGTCGTCTGGAGAAGAGGCCTCCGGCACCCACAGCTTCCTCCTGGGCTCTGTCCCACCTCCCAGCACCTGCCCTGGGAAAACCAGGTGCTACTTAAGGCGTCGGATCCGTGGATGTGTTTAACATCTGCCAAATCCCCGGCATCCCCAGCCTGCACCAAGGAAGGCTCCGGGATATCCTCAGCTGCGTGGGGCCGGAGCAGCCCGATCCCAAACCTGCAGTTCAGGCTGGAGCACTTGCAGATGGCAGATAGGGAGGGAGAGGTGACTCATGGAGATTAAATATCCTGCTGCTCCTGCCTCCTTGGCAGCGATGGCTCAACACACCAACGGCAGATCCAGCCGGCTCCGTCATTCCTGGTTTTCTTTTGCCTCCGGGT